ATGCCTCTTTTTAGTACTACTAGTAGTCTTAACAGTCTTTATGTTGAACTATACTGTTAAGATTCCAGATTCCCAAAAAGACTGAAGTCAAGCTGGCCATCCTTGCTGTCTCTCCTTTGAAATTTTGATTCCTGTTAATAAATGCTAAATATGCTAAATTACTAGGCCGTTTAGCAATTCAATTAAAGGGAATCACCCAATTATGAGGAGCTTTACCGCCAGGGCGCTCCGGAACCAATGCGCGCGCGTCCCCCCTTTGAAATCTAATATCAGGGGTATGATTTCGTGGGTTTTTTTTCACAAAAAATAACTCACGTTTCTAAAACGTGGTTTTTTTTTTCCAAAAAATAACCCATGTTTTAAAACGTGGGTTCCTGGGTTCCTGGGTTAACCCACGAAAAACCCACAAACCTGCTGGGCCTTTCTCCAAATATCAAAAACAGTGATTAAATAACGTTAATGACTAGTAAAATACTTAACACCCTTGGTTCTCCATCAACCCAGATGACTGTAAATTTGTGGGTTATTCGTGGGTTCTTTCGTGGGTTATTTGTGGGTTCCTGGGTTCTTTCGTGGGTTATTTTTCAAATTTAAAAACCCACGTTTTAGAAACGTGGGTTAATTTTCACCAAAAATAACCCACGTTTTTCTAGGGGAGGAATTCGAAAAGGGGGATGTGCGCGTGGGTACCGGAGGGCCCAGAAACAGTCCTACGAAAACGATGATTTTTTGGTCTGTCCGTACATACGAAAGTCGAGTACAGTACTTTTTTCCTCACCTCGGAGGGCGGTCGGACAGGATCGGATCGTTGGATTCTACAGTAGGGATGGCATCATGCAAATGCCATGTATGGTGGGTATGAAGCATTACGAACTGTGCAGTAACCCGTACTGATGCCGCAAGACGCAAAATGCAATGATTAACGATAACGGTAACAAACTTCTCGTGGATCATTATTACACACCCMACCGCTCACTCCTACCCCCTTGTGTTGGTGAATCCTCAACTWAGTTTTATATTTTACCTTTTTTCCGATCCAAAGTSGCGTCTAGTCTCAAAATATATAACAATGCCCCATCAACGCTTTCCGAAGATCAAGATTCTTCATATGGCTCCGCATGAAATGCGATTTATATTGAGCGAAACAGACACGTCGGTAGCCAATACTTTACGGCGGATCATGATTGGGGAAGTACCGACTTTAGCAATCGATCTTGTAGAATTTCATGAGAACTCATCAGTGCTGAATGACGAATACATAGCTCATCGTCTCGGTCTCATTCCAATTCGGTATCAACCAGTTGATTCCATGAAAGGCCAAGACTGCAACGGGGCTTTTTTACCGCATCGAGAGTGCGTATGTTACGAGCGATGTCCTCGTTGTTCTGTTGAATTCGAACTCGATGTCGCATTCGATGAAGCTAACACATTTCGATCAGAGGAAGAGCTTATGGCTCCTTTGACAATAACATCCAAAGATTTGAAGTCGAACAACGAGAACGTAATACCGGCTCACTTTTTGAGTCAAGACGAACAAGACGAGTCACAAGATGCTGGTGTAGCAATCGTTAAAATAGGACCAGGGCAACGTTTGAAATTAAAGGCTATTGCGAGAATGGGAATTGCGAAGGAGCACGCCAAGTGGTGTCCTGTTGCGATCGCAACTTATCGGTTTTGGCCGAACATAACCATCAACGAGGAACAGATAGCGACGTTGACCATGGAACAGAAACAGGAGATGGTCGATGTTTGCCCTGACAAGATTTTAGAGATCGACGATGTGACCGGTTCCATCAAGGCCGTAGATGATGCTTGGGATAGATGCACCTACACAGAGGACTTGCAAGAATTCCAACAATCAATTAAAAAGCGTAAGGAGGACGACGATTTTGTCACCGTAGAAGCTGCAGAAGACAAATTTATATTTACGGTTGAATCAACGGGGGTTATGGATGCTGACGAAATTGTTATCTCCGCGCTAAGGGTACTCAAAGATAGACTGAACTACTTGGCACAGGAAGTTGAAAACATCAAGGACATGTAAAAATAGATGAGATTTTTTATTTTTAACTACATGCAGTACTGCAGTGCAGCGAGTGAAGAAAACTCCAGCTAAATCACTAGGGAATGTGATGACATGTGGCATGTGTAGGCCACAATTTTTGAAAGAAGTTAAAAAATGTGAAATAGTTTCCCCCTTTCAATTGAACAACAGTTCTGCTGACACCAAAATGACCCTCCTTTGGAAGGGGAAAATTTCTCTGATAAGCATCAAAGTGCCTAATTCACCCTTTCTTTTGTTGGTAATTGCTTCCTCCAGCAAGAATTCCTTGATTCAGGGTGGGGCATGTTTGCGAGTCAACTCTCCATGACAGTTGTTCCTGACAGTTGTTCCTGGCATTTGTTCCAGACAAAAACAATCAAATACTACTACCCAGTATTCAACTCAAGCCTACATCTACTGCTGCACTTGATCCTGTGTATTTGCTGTTATCTCCCTTCCCTGGTAATAGCTTGCTGCTGCAGGAAGATTCACTCTATTCTGCATGGGACTTTGCTASAGATTTCTTTCCAATCATTTTCTCATTACTGATAATAGTGTTGTCCCTGGCRTTTGTGTTGGATGGCACCAACCCAAAAGAAGGAAGCCATTCTCAACCTTTCATGCTTGGTCAACTGTCCTGTAGCAATTCCCATTTCCCAGTAGTTCAAGTAGCATCTAAAACTGCTGGAAACAAAATTTGAAATCATTTCTATGATGCTGTTGTCTCTGGTACTTATGACAGATGCCAACAAAGTATTCTATCGTATAGAGTTGGCCAGCTAATGTACTACGGTCCCAGTCGTAGATTACGGGCTATCTAATTACCGTGTAACAACTCGTTGGATTAAAAATTTAACTTGTACTACCGGTACAGTGGGGCACGTGCTGAATTTTTKAATCCCACATTCATGCGACCAAATAGTTTTGTGCACGTGCAAAATAGTTTTTTGYTTTCACGTGCATGCTGTAGGCCTAGTACTAGTACAAGCCAAATTTTTAATCCCACGAGTCATTACACGGTAATTAGATGGCTGCTTATCCACACAGACGTATAATTTACTAACCATATAACTGTTTTAGTCTCAAACTGACAGTTTGGGCCATAACTTTTTCCTCAACAGACGCTTAAGTATGATAAGCACATGGTGAAAAAGAGAATTCAAAGAGCTTTCGAATGTAGTGGGGGAGTACGGCATCCGACGAATATTCATCGATGTATGTGTATGTATATATAGTATTTCTAAATGTATGGTTTAAACTGTCTTTTTTGCTGGGCCCACACTATACAATATTCCCAATCTCTATCTCTAGCTACTACTGCTACAGAAAATAAGCAAGTGTCCCCTTGTGGCATTTTGTTATGGTACAATTTACTTCCTTCAGCAGTGCACTTTCTTTGTAACCATCTCTGCATTACTATTGTTCTACAATCCAGACCCTGACCCCAACGATCAACAAACTGTAAGCTTGATAGGAGAGGCAATACTCTGATTCCCATTTGATTGCTTTTCCATTCATTCCACCTACCAGGAATCTAATGCCTAACAGCAATACCCCCAACCCAGCCCCAGACAGCTCCAAAGTCTGATTAGSTGTCTTCCTCTGCTTGCTTGTTCCCACTCCTTTCAAATTCAACAAACCAGCAATACAGCTGTTGCAAATCAAAGTTTCAACCAATTCTTTGATTTTGTTGCTCCTGATACTCGTACTACTAGTAGACCACAATAATCCAAACTGCAACCTTAAAGCAGGGAAGAAGAATCTGTCAGCTTCCAAGTTTCAACAACTAACCAACTCTCATTCACACTAGAAGTTACAACAGCTCTAGAAGTTGCAACAGCTCTAGAAGTTGCAACAGCTCCCGAAGATGCCACAGCAAGTTTTCTGCAATTTAGTGATTCTATTGCTCCTGACATTGCTTTCATGTCTCTTCTGGTTTTCCTTTTTTTCTGTCATGGGTTTCGTCCAATATAACTGTAATCCATAGTACTCTCTCTTCCTTRATACTATAAATAGTCTTCTGTGCTGGYGTTTGAGCCTAGAAGATAGGCAGCCCCTGGACTGCACTCCAGTACACTGGTTACGGCCTTCTATATCCGTTTTATTTCACCGGTTTAGATGTAAGATTTACGTTTTTTAAAAATTGGGAGTTCAACCGTAGYTTAATGGATTCCAACAAGTATCTCAGCAAAATTRCCTTTAAAATTTTTTCTGGATAAGAATTCAACTAGGTGAGTTTGTAAATAAAATAGAAGCAGATGAAACCGGACAGTCTTTTCCAATGAAAGATGTGCGGGATCCAATAAAAATAGATTTCATTTTTTCAGTTTACGCTAATGTCGTGCCAATCCGGCAACTGTGTTCGAAACGATTGTACAACTTTTCGTTTTCCCTCGTCATCGTCGTTCGAATCATTGTTAGTCGTGAAAGTATACTGTAGTGCATGAAGCCAAATACCTGGACTCCTAATCAGAAACTCTAGTACAGATCTATCTTCACTAGGTACAGAACGAGATCGGGCACACCAAACGCAAGTCCGTTCGATGAAGCTGTGGATCGACTCATCATTTTGTCGTACAGCTCTAGCAATTTCATCTTGCACCTCACTTTCCGTTGCAGGTACATCGATCGCAGATGTTCTTGTTCCATGCTCTGGAGGCTTATCAACAGTTACGCAYATTTTCTTTCCATTGATAGAAATTCCAGTCAAGGATTGCGCTTCAGCGTCTCCCGCACTTTTGATAATACTCAATCTATCTTGAGCTATTTTGCAGGCCTGTTTACCGTCGGGATTGGCATACCACATGTCTCCGCCATAATTAGGATCATTTGCGATCGAATGCTGTAAATACTGTAAATGGAGTCGTAGTTGGTGGGTGCGCCCAGTATAAGGTCGGCATACCTTAAACATATCGAGAAGAAGAAATCGTTAGGGGCGACAACTATGTGTAACTTCACTCATTGCACTGCCGAATTGTTCTTACCAAAAGCGTAGAATCTGTCATTTCATCGTAGGACACGACCCCGAACGAAGAATGAGCAGGTTTCACTGTCTTTTTGTATAGATCATCATCTAGGTGGTCGAAAGAACCTGCTTCRCAAACGCCATCTTTGTGTTTCGCTATTCGAGTGGGACAGGCCAAATGAAACCATATTTTTTTCTCTCTTTGCTTCYCTTCTTCGATTTTAGAATCAATTGATTGGAGCCATTCATCCACACTAAGTGTACCAAACGTTGATGAGTAAGAGAGAGAAAAACAATTTCCTTGTGATTAACGCTGGCGAAAGACAACACGAAGCAACAAAACCTACCTGTGACGACATCGAAAGACCTGGTCTAACATATTCTTTTGACTATCGCAATCATTCTCGAATATAGAAGCCTGATTTCCATCCTCGATCCAACAAGCAAGAGCGTGCAATTTCCGGAGACGGGAAGCATCGTTCGAAGAGTCTTTCCCAYTTGAAGAAGGGTTTTGTTGTTCCCGAATGWCACCTTYGTCTCTGTAATCACTTCTTTCTAGTTTCCACTCCCCATCAAGAGATATTTCTCCGTGCAAAGGCTTTTTCGAACTCAGTTTCTTCCACGGGTATTTCAACGGGAATTTGCCTGCCACTCGCGCAAGATAGACCTTTTGACATGATCTATTCATGATACATTTTGAGTAGGATTGAGCCACAGAAGATGTCTTACCAAGAATGACCAATCCCGATGTTAATCTGTCCAATCGATGAATTGTGTATAGCTTTTTTACGTCACTTATACCATCCTTATATTTAGATTTGTAATATTTTTCTAAAATATTCATGAGAGATTGCATATTGTAGCCTCCACATGGATGGACTAAAAATGAGAGAAATCTGCTATGTTAGAGTTTATTGACAGTGATCCATCGGCATCTTTAATATGGACGAAGATAATGATTCTACAGCAGTAGAGATTGTGACGATGAGGTGTAACCCCGGGTTAAGTTCGATTTGGCTTCAATTTATACTTACTTGGCATGGTTCCTGGTTTTTCAACAATTACGAGCTCAGAGGTTTCTAGTGTCGAGTACGAAATATTTGTGAGACTTATACTGCCTAAAGGGAGAAAACAATTCATTCTCTTTCACGCAATGTAGAGTATTCTAACGACACAAAGTTTCGGTGAATGTAGCTTACCGTTAATTATAGTGACATGAGGGTCAACATTAGAATGCACAGCCACTCCCGGCTCGTGTCGGTGGACTGTGTGACACAATACGTCACCCCCTTTGATGAGGTAAGTTGCTGAAACCTTCTTGTCCGAAACGAGTATTCGCCCTTGGTCAATAGCTCTCTCGTAGTAAGATTTCGGATAAGATCCAAACTCGGTGGAGTATACATCAAGGATTGTTCTTCCTTCCCATCGACCTTTCGCGAAGGTAGAATATGTATACGGGTATGGCTTTTAATTGAATTGCGTAGAATCCAGTCAGATGCGAGGGTACAATGTTGGTTAAACTACGCCTCCCCAAAATTAGTGTAGAGCCAAGCTGGGCAACTTACTTTGATCACTCTCAGCCATTTCTGAGGCGCCGAAATAGGTTTCCCGTCCAGTTCAAGCTTTCGCACACTTGTTTCGTATACTGGATCTTGCTYCAATCTATTAACCTCAGACCGCGGTCGCTTCCGATTCCTTTTCGATCTGGGTTTCATTGTGTCACAAGTTGTTCGGTTGCAGAAGCGTGAGGAGTTGTGATATCMGATGTTACTGATACGGTGAAAGAAAAAAATTATGCKTTGTACATGCCCAAAAAATACTGTTGACACTACGGTACGTACCGGCCGGTACGTACCCGGTATGACGACGGATATCTTCTAAACAATTGATTCCCGCACTAATTCAGTGGTTCCGATCATTAATTTTTACAGTGATGATTAGGTCTTTTGCGGTGCGCAGCCAGTGGAAGTCGAAAGTTGGGTGTACGGTATGTTTGTCATTTGTTCAATCTTTCATAGTACTAGCATATCAGGAAACTCTCGTGCCACCAACATCTCATTTCCGTAACTTTATATTTTTACAGAAAAAAATCACGTTCAACCTAGTACATGCTTTACATTAAAAATTTSTTGATACYATGTTTTTACATTTTTCTCCCCCTCAAACTCCCTTATTCCAGAAGGACAATTCCAGTCGAATAACGACTATTTTTGTACTTTTTATTCTATTCGACTTCCATGATTACAGTGATGATACCATCAGTAGTCTAGAACACCGTACAAAATCTGGGACGTTAYGATTACGAAACGACTCATTGGGTCATTCCCGATAGTCTAGAAAGTCTAAAATTCTAAATGGTCTAGTTTAGACCTTTTAGATTAACGGGAATCATTAAAAACAGGATCCCAA